GCAGTCTCACCACCTTGGTCACGTCTAAGGACAGGTGGGTTCAGTGCTTGAAAACAGGGACTTTGCATTTTGACACACTGGGTTGGCATTGACTCCACCACTTACTAGCTAATAGGTGACTAGTCAGTTCCTCATCTGTTACACAAAGGCTGGCATAGTACTTTTGCTACAGGGCTGTTGAACATTGAAAGAGATAATGGATGAAAAATACTTAGTACAGAATCTAGCACACAGAAAGTACTGAACAAATGTTAGTTATTTTATCATCATGAAGATCTATTGATCTATTATCTATCTATTTATCTATCATCTATCTATCTATCTACCTATCTACCCATATCTCCTTGATTATGAATTGTCTCTTTTAAAACATCTCCTTTTTTCAGTTTGTTTGTTTTGGTCTCTGACTTTGCAATGGTGGGGGTTTTTCTCAACTAGGTGACATTTGTCACTCCATTCATATGTAAGAGTGATTTTGGAAGCTCCATGTGCAGGAGGCTTGCTGACTGATAGGCTTCAGTGTAAGGTGAGCAGGCAGTAACTACTGGCCTTTAGGATGGTCAGGTTCACTCCCATCTCCTATGTGTGGGGCATAAGCCCATCTGCTGCTCTGAGAGCCCCACAGGGATAGGGGCTGGGCACTCACTGTTCACTACAGACACCTCACTGAAACCCTGTTTTCAGTCTAGCTCCCCATCCTCATCTCACCTGTTCCCAGTGTGCTAAGTCCGGAAAGCTCTCTGCTTCAGTGTCTCTAAAAAAATTACACCTCCCCTCTCTGGCTAGGAAAGAGCAAGGGAAGTTACTGCTGCACAGTATGGGGGATAGCATCAAAGGTCTAAGTACTACTGATTCCGAATTCCATCCAATTCCATTTTTACCTCTTTTTATCCCCCGCCTTCCCAGGTTCCTGCTGCCTCCAGTTCCTGTGTTTCTAGGGGCTGCTGTTCTCTCCTGCAGGTACTAAGTGTTCTCCATTCTGTCAGCTACCTCCACTAGCTAGCTGCTTCCCATCTTGTGAAAATATGTTGCTATCTCTGTTTACTGTTGTTTTCCCTCCAACTCTCTTTCTCTGTGGGTTTATACCCTTTTAATTCCTTTACAGTTGCTCTGTCAGAGTTTCAAGAGGGGGAAAAATAAATGCATACATTCAATTTACTGTTTTAAATAATTGAATGTTCTTTATGGCTTTTAAAATATTGAATGGAGCCCTAGCCTATTTGGCTCAGTGGATAGAGTGTCAGCCTATAGACCAAAGGATCCCAGTCAAGGCATGTACCTTGGTTGCAGGCTCCTCCCTGGCCCAGGCCCTGGTGAGGGCACCCACAGGAGGCAACCAACTGATGAGTTTCTCTCACATCAATGTTTCTCTCTGTCTTTCCCTCTCTCTTCCACTCTCTCTAAAAGATCAATCGAAAAATATCCTTGGGTGAGGATTAACAAAAAAAAAATTTTTTTTTGAATGGTCATTCTACAGATTCACTTCTGCATGGTAAGTTCCATAATATTTTGAGATTTAGAAAATACTAAAAAATGTTTAAATCTTTATTGTTGAAAGTATTACATATGTCCCCATTTTTCCCCATTGACCCCTTCTAGCTTGCCCTGGTCCCCCACCCCAGGCCTTTACCACGTTATTGTCTATGTCCGTGGGTTATGTATATCTATACATACAAGTTCTTTGGTTGATCTCTTCCCACACAGCCAGCCACTCTGTTTTATCTTGCCCTTTTAATTTAAAAATTAGTGTTTTATAGTATCAGCATAAAAGATGTATCAACATATGAGCAATGTATATAAGTTATAAATAAATAGACATGTGGCAAGGGTATGCTCAAAAGTGTTATATCAAAGGGGCTGGTCAAATATTTTAGGTAAAATTAAGAAAAAGAGGTTGAATTTCATTTGGGTCAGTATAATATAGAGAACAGTTATGGGAGGCGAGATGTGAGTACCAACATAAAAAGGGAAATAAAAATAGAAGAACTTAAAGCTGATTAAATTGTAAGTGTGTAATTTTGATAGTTCAGAGCTAAGAAGGGGATGAGAGCTGACACTAAGTATAATGCATTAGGTACACCCCACCTTTACATCACTTACACCCCATCTATGCTTCTTTGGGAGTAGGCATTTGACAGGCAGAGAAAGTCCAGCTCAGAGAGGTTAAGTGATTTGTCCAAGGCCACAAAATGGTAAGTGGCACAGCCTGGATTCAAAGCCAGCTCTTTCTGATTCCAAGGCCTGCATATTTACTACACACCTCTCTGTCTACTCAGGGAAATATTAGCCACCATTTCCCTTCCAGAAATTAGTTGTATTAATAGTTACAATCAAGTATATAACTTAAATGAAGTACCTGATTTCAGATTAAACATCCTTGTCGTTGAGTTTACAATAACATCTGCACTTTCTTTTGCGATATCTCCAATAGCAACCTGGAAGGTAATCGCACCAATTTTCATTTCACACACTGTGGGCCAAGAGCAAGTGACAGTCCCAAAGATACCTGAAAAGAAAGAAGATGGTTGAAGGAGCAGCTGGCTTCTGCAGGAAAAACACGAAGGGTCTCTGCTCTCTTCCTTTCCCCTCAAAATAAATCCAAACATTACCATGTCTCCTAGTCTATTAAGCAGCTAGGTGTTCTTTTTTAAGAAAATCAGAAAACAATGCTTTGTAGCAGTAGGAATATCTACATTTTCTCAGTTAAATAGGATGAGGCAGAAACATCTGATTGACCATCTATTTGTCTGCAAAAGTTGCTGTGGTGTCAGGAGTGAGAAAGAAGGTGAGAGAGCAAAGTATACTCTCATTTCATGCTGACATTTATGGAAGATTCTTTTTTTTATTTTTCAGCTTTATTGATATATGGTCGACAAACAAAAATTGTATATATTTAAGGTGTGGATTGTCAGTTTTCATTGTGAAATGATGCCACAATTGAGCTGATTAACACACCCATTCTCACACAGCTGTCATGTGTGTGTGTGTGTGTGTGTGTGTGTGTGTGTGTGTGTGTGTGTAGAACCTTTGAGATCCACTCTCTTAGAAAATTTCAAGTATTTGATACATTATTATTAACTGTATTCCCCATGCTATATATTAGGTCTCCAGAGTTTATTCATCTTATAACTGAAAGTTGGGAGGTCCTTTTATTACCATTTTATGAAAAGGAAAAATGGTCAGAGTGGCTAGGTCATTTGTTCAATGTTAAACAACAGCTCACTAATCAACATGAACTTTTCCTCCCCCTTCATATCCCACTGGAATAGCAATATCAAGACTGCTCTGGGAAAATTACCTTTAGCATGTTGACATATCACTGTCCACTCTACACTCTGAAGCTTTACAACTTAGATGTGCCATTTCTACTAATGCCATACACTCTTTAGACCTCCATTTCCACATTTATACAATGGCAACAGAACCAATGACCTGCCCATGGGGCCATGGTATAAGTTTAAATAATATAATACATATGAAAGCAATCAGTGAAGTTTAGTGTGCCATGCAAATTTCAATTATCTTTTAATGTCATACTAGTTGCCCGGTGGCCAAATTCGTGCACTTGCGGGGGGAGGGGGAGATCCCTCAGCCTGGCTGCGCTCACCAGCTGTGAGCCTGGCTTCTGGCTGAGTGGCACTCCCTCTGTAAGAGCGAATTGACCACTAGGGGGCAGCTCCTGCGTTGAGCATCTGCCCCCTGGTGGTCAGTGTGCATAATAGTGACCAGTCATTCCGCTGTTCAGTTGATTTGCATATTAGCCTTTTATTATATAGGATCTTAGAAATTCTAGCCTCATTACCAGTGATTTCATTCACAACAATATGATCTATTTTTTGGAATGCACTGACACTTTCTCCAGTACTGATTTGTTCTTCACGAGAATTTGTCTCTTTCTATGGGACTTCAGCTAACACCAGAGTTACTAAGCAAAGGGAAATATTGCCCCAGCAGAACAACTTGACCAGCCAGACCTTGGGTATTTCCAACCATGAGAATCTTCTCCTTGTTGGGATTTCCACTCGACCATCTAGTGAATTTATCTAAAAATGCCTAGATAGAAAGAAACACAGTTACTGACCACAACAATGCTCTGTAGAAATATCAGCCCAGTTTTTTGGAACATGGAAAATCAAACATCAAACAGGAACAATCGTTCTCAATAGATTTTCTCCTTATTTCAAGGACTTTTTAATCAAAGGGTTATGATTCAATTTAGGAATTTCCTAAATACCAGTGCTGACTTATATTATTTCATGGGAAGACCACACTTCTATGGGCAACCAACACTTATGGGCAAGGAAGTAGAAAATGCTGTTATTTATACATCTACCAAAGACATCAGATTGCACTTAGGTTTGCTTGCCAGAATGAACAGAAGAGACATGTAACCATACCTTATGGCTTTCATCATCATCGAGATGTACCAGAAAGTGAACTTTTTGTAAGGTTTTCAGCCACGCACTGCTACTAAATTTGGACACTTCTGACAGGATTAGTTCAGCAAATACAGCTTTGGGAAATCCCAGATTTCCTGTTGCAATCATGGGAAATGTGATTGATGAGAAAGATAGCTGTTCTACAGTCATCAAACATTTCTTGATTATATTTGCCATTATCTGAAATGTACAAAATGCATTTATATAAGTTAGGGCTCAAGCTGGCAGAAAACAGAAAAACTGTGGTTACAGCAACCCTGACCAGGCCCTCTCTGTTATCCTAGGTTTTGTCAGGGCCTATGGGATCAGAAAGAGAAACCAAGAAGAGGGGAGAGGACTTTCAGAGAGATTCAAACTCATGCAGGAGAGAGGGCCCACCAGTATGGAAATGGTTATGAGTATCTCATTGTAATTAAAATTGATGTTTATGAAGAGTTTTAAATAACATGGGCAGTGTTTATGTTATGTAAAAAAGGCAGGATTAAAAATGGAAGAATATATCAACTACAAATATATATGCATAAAACTGAATTGAAGGTAATACAGTAAAATGTTAGTTATCTCTACGTGGCTGGATTATGATTTTTATTTTTGTGCTTTCTGTGTATTTCCTGCAATGTACACATATTACTTTATATTCTGAAAAAAAAAGTTGTGGGGGTTAAATTATGAATAGAGATGAGAATTAGGTCATCAAAAGAAGGGCACTGACCCTTTTTCATTCTACACCACAGTTTTGACTGCATTTCTTAGTTATACTGAAGGATTATTATGCTAATCTAATCTTCAGATACCATTCCTGGAGAATCCCAATGATTGCTATTACTTTTAAGGGTCAATTGCTCTGAAATAACTGAAAGTTGTGATGGACTCTTCACGAAAGGTAATATAGATTTCAATAAATAGACAGGGTTAAGTACATGTTAGGGTTTCTCAACCTGGGCCAGATAATTGTTTGTTGTGGAGACTGGCATATGCCTTGTAGGGGATTTAGCAGTAGTCCTGGCCTCTACCCCTAGCTACCAGTAGCAGTTGTAACAAGCCAAATGTCCCCCTTTTGAGATAAATTCGCTTTGGTTGAGAACCACAGATCTATACCATGCAAGGAGATTTACCAATTTTATAAAATGAAATGGAGAACTAAGGACTTTTTCTACCTGCCAAGAAGACCCTGCTCCATTATCCCAGTCTGGAGCCACAACGTGGAGCACAGCTTTGCAGTTCAGATTGCAGCCACTTGTCATGAATATGCTACCCACTTCCTCCTCTGTTTCCTGTCTGGTGGCATTTAACTCTTTCTGGAGCATGGGACCAGCTTTACACAAAAGAGACTGAGAGAGCGATCCTCTTCCAAGCTGAAGATCCGTGGGTACAGTGTTGACAATGACATCGGCCTTAATGAAAACAGCAACAATTTGTTAGAGGTTGAATCAATAAATAACTGCTGAGCACCTTTGCCCTGCTAAGTATTGCGGGATACTGCACAAGCTATGCTTTGCATCTCATGCTGACCTATCAGCCCTACCCTCAGGGAGCTTACAATTTGTTGGTAGTACTTAGCCAGTGGTTCTCAACCTTCTGGCCCTTTAAATACAGTTCCTCATGTGGTGACCCCCAACCATAAAATTATTTTCATTGCTACTTCATAACTGTAATTTTGCTGCTGTTATGAATCATAATGTAAATATCTGATATGCAGGATGGTCTTAGGCCATCCCTGTGAAAGGGTCGTTTGACCGCCAAAGGGGTCGCAATTCACAGGTTAAGAACAGCTGGCTTAGACACTATAGTGAGGTGAGCCCCAAAATTTAAAAATTAAGGAAATACATACCCACTACCATCAAGTCAAAAAGTTATGAGTCAGAGTAGAGCTATGAAAATGACTGAAACACCCAGAGACACAAAATGAAAGGCAGAGGCAGAAAGAGAAACACACAGAAAGATTGAGAGAGACTGAGGAAGAAAGAATTGCTTTTAGGCAGGCAGGAACTGAGAATAATTATTTTGAACACATCAATACTAGTATACATAAAGAAAGAATGGGTCCATCTGAAAGGGGGTTTCTGATCAGCCTTAAAGGCCTAGACCAAGGAAGGGCACTGGAGTGAAGGTCGGCTAGGTCTATGCAGTCTGTCCTAAGGCACTCAGTTCTCCAATGTCTGTGCCAAGACCATCTCTTTGATGAGATGGGGTCATGGCCTGATGCCAATAGATATTAGATATTCAATTCATCTAATTTCACTTATTCCAATTTTTTTTCAAATTTGGAAGGACAACACTGATCATATGGATTTTGAGGATTCTGGTCCCTTGGGGAGCTCTTCCTCATTATAAATGAAAAGGTGTTTATGTCTTGGGGCCACATTATAGTTCTATTTCACACTCCAAGTTAACAATCAACACTCACGGGTCCACCTCAATCTTATATGAAGTTAGTTAACATAAACTAATCTCTGGACCCAAGAAGGTCCTTGCAGGGACAAGAGTGGGTGAGCCTTCCAAAAACAAAAAAACTAGATCCAGCCCACTTTTGTCTCACTCCCACTTACAGCCTCACTCTCTGCTTACTGATTCAATATACTAACATGTAAAAGGTAAAATGGCCTTAATGTTCAAATCAGTTCAAGATAACAAAAAAAACCCTGTGTGTTAAATATACAATTATTAATTGCTATAGAATTTCCAAAAAAGAATAGGTATTTAGATTAGATTTTTTTAAAAATATACTGTATTGATTTTTTACAGAGAGGAAGGGAGAGAGATAGAGAGTTAGAAACATCGATGAGAGAGAAACATTGATCAGCTGCCTCCTGCACACCTTCTACTGGGGATGTGCCCGCAATCAAGGTACATGCCTTGGACTGGAATCGAACCTGGGACCTTTCAGTCTGCAGGCCAACGCTCTATCCACTGAGCCAAACCAGTTACAGCTAGATTAGATTGTTTAGTAAAGTCTTTACAAAGAGGATAATGGATAGAACTAATACAGGTAGAAAGAAGGCAGGAAAGCAGTCTAAGTGGGTACTATTTAAGAAAATGCATGAAATTGAGGAAGATCAGAAAGTTGGCCCATTTAACTAAAAGAGAGTCTCAATGGTGAGAGACAGGGCTGGGAACAGATTTAGGGCCAGATGATGGAGGACTCTGAAAAGCCACCTTTTTCTGGACTTTATCTTATAGGCACTATAGAGGATCTGATACCACAATGTTTTTAGAATATGCATCATACAGCAATGTAGAGGATAAATTGGAGGGTGAGAGATTAAAGGCACAGTGGCAAGGCCAGTACCAAGGGAATGAAAAGGAAAGGGTATGTACAAGAGACCTGTGCAAGGAAGCTTGAAAACTCACTTGATAGGGAAAGGAATTCAGAGACGAGTTTAAGAAGATTCCAAAGTTTATACAGCCTCATCCATTAGTGAGAATAGGTACCCTGGCATGATTTGATAAGAATTTAACAATCAATAGACCAACTGTGTAGTGGAAAGACCAAGATCAGTATTGGGGCAGTATCTGAACCCTGCCAGTATTAGCTTTACAATTGGTCTGCATAACCACTACACTATGCCAATTCCTAGAGTAACAGAGAAATTTAGTGTACTTTTGTGTCATTTAGTTTCTTTCTAGTCTGATTATATTCACCAAGCAATCTCATAATAGTCATCTTAAGAGCTCACTTTTACCAGTAGCAATGGCAATTATCTTTCTCATTGCCAATTAAATAACTGCAATTCCATTTTACAAATGAGTCACTTGAATTTGATTGTCAGGCCAAGTTTGGTTACAATGATAAGATTCAACTTCTCAACCTGCAGATCTGAGGACAAAGTCCTAAACCCATGTAACAAAAGAGTCTATGGACTCTATTTATTTTAGAGAACATGAAGAAAGTAGATGCCTGCCTCACCTCTGCCATCTCATTAGCTGCAACAAAAGTAAAAAAAAAAAAAAAAATCCAGAAGAGAAACCAAGATGGCAGCAGAGGTAAACACCGGAAATTGCTGCCTCCCACAACCACTTCAAAATACAACTAAAAGACTAAAAGGACATCATCCAGAACCACAGGAAGGCTGGCTGAGTGGAAATTCTACAACTAGAAGGAAAGAAAAGCACACTGAGACTCAGAGGAGGTGTGGAAGTAAACTGCAGAGATACGGAGGCCCACGTGGAAAGGGCTGGAAACTGAGGACACAGTTGTCCTTTTCAATCGGGAGGGAGTCTCAAGCTCCCAACTGCTCTGAACTCCAGAGGGGACACAGACTCATACAGGGAAAAACTGGACTGTCTGGCAGCAGGCGGAACTCGAGGGAAGCTTTCTCTCAGAGGTGCTTGCAGCGATTACTGGGACACTGAGATGCGGAGCCTCTTAGGGTAGGACTGAGGAGCAGCCTAGCTGCTTGCTCCGCCCTGTTGATCTCCTGAGACCCCCGCCCCACCCAAACTGTGCACAGAGGCTTTTGCATATGAAAGGCCTGGCCCTTTGCAACCGGAAAATTACCTAACAAACTGCAGCTGCATCAGAGAAACCCAG